ATATATATATATATATATATATATATATATATATATTATTAGTATATATTCAGTTCTCCCTTCATGCATGATCTCAATTATGTTTCAGGAAACTATCAGTACAGCCAACAGCAGACACAGTACCAACAAGGCTCTGGGACGCACCAGACATTCAGCCAACAGCAGTATCCATCCCAAGCCGGCTACAGCGCTCAGCCTCAGGGATACGGTAACAGACTACATCAGATTACATCGATTTCATTCAGTATTAATTGATCCCTACAGAAGCAATATACAGACTTGTGCTGTTTGGCTCTGAAGGTGCAGGGCAGGGCAGCTCATCCCAGTATCCTCAGTATCAGCAGGGCCAGAGTCAGCAGTACCCATCATACCGCTTCATTCAGCCAAGACCAGCCGCCCCGTCACAGAGGTCCTACCCTTTTGAACAGGTGAACACCATGACCGTCCTGTACAATGACAAAGTGACCCAGCCCAGTAATGAGAGGGTCAGTTCACCCATCAGATTTCATCCAATGTCTGATGTCTTTTATTAAATGCCATTATGTATTTATTTTTTATTTTTCTCCACAAAGGGTCAGTATGGAAACTATCAGCAATAAAGAGACATGGCTAATGTTTGGGGCAGTTTTTTGTGTACATCCCTCTTTACTCTGGATGCTGGAAAAACAGAGGATTCTCCACCAGCCCTGTCTCACAGGCTTGCTACGGAATCAGAATTAAACTCTATAAACAGAAACAAATAAATTAGATTTTTTACAAGGGTCTGGAGTTTATTTTTTAATCCTACTTTTATCATACAGGAGATATTATTTTCTCTACCAGCACACTGAAGTCTTGGATACTTTAGCTTTTTTCTGTAATTATTTGTTTATTTTGGACTGTTAGTTTTGTCGATTGTCTGAATGGGTGGATGAATGGATTAATGTTCTGATAGCACAAATGGAAATACTGATGTTTATTTTGTTATTTATTTAGTTTTGTTTATTTCAGTTTTAAATACTGTAATCATACATTTTAATCGAAGGGAACGCAAAATTGCAGACAAATAGCCAAAGTTCAAATTTACACATAATAAGTTGTATATAGATTTCTTTATTGGAATCCTCATACACATTTATATAGTATGGTGTTCTTCAACAGTTTACCACGTGACATGCCAGTGTGATGTTGTTCTCATCATGTTTTAGGGGACTGAATGTTTAGGATGTAGACATTTTCATGCTTTACTGTTGCTCTGGCACCGTATACTGCATACTCAAACCTAAAAAATTAAAAAAAAATTAATGGGGGGTTAAAGATGGATTCACCCGTAAGGGGACAGCACACAAAAATTGTGGCAAATTGACATTAAAGACAATTATCACTGGCTGTTAAACAGCTTTTATACCATACTGCACAAATAATCTGTGACAATCGTGGGATACGTGTGTTTACTTAGCAAACTGTACGGTTTAGCTGTAATTTGATTACTGATATTGCGTATGCATATGTAGTATATACACTTCAATTGTGCTAACTAGATGTTTTCACATAAAAGACATTTGTGATCATTTGAACAAATATCTTACATCTCCATCTTCACTGTTCTGTAATATATGGACTTTTATGAAATTCATAAAAATAAAAAATAAATAAATTTTCATCCCTTTCCTTCACCTTAGCACTGGTTTCCTTGTGTTCTGTGACAGTGTACGGATTTTTGCAGATAAGCACAAGTCAAGGTGCGATGGCAAACAGAACCAGATTTCAATGGATCCATTATGATTTACTATACACACCAAAAACATAAAATAAGGCTTTCACATAATGATGTGTTTGAAGTCAGTGATGAACAGTTCTTCTGTGAGAGTGAATGCGTGTGTCGTCTGATCTCTACGTACAGTGCTGGTAGACATATTAGGAACAAACTATATTCCTTCCTATTTTTTCAGTCTATTTTACTTTAGAATTTAGAATTTATTCTACAAATTCCTTCAAAATAAAACTGTTTTAAAATAAGCTATTTACCTCATCCAGCAGTTTTTCTTGTTTTTCTCAAGGAGCTGAAAGCTGCAGGTATACACTATACCTATTCTAGTCTCGTTGCAAACACACTCTCATAAAAGTTCATAACTATTTTACATTTTGGCATATTGGTGGGTAATTAATGTGAATTTGTATAATCTCAGCGTTCTCATATGATCTACTTACCTGAAGCTGATTGGTGTTTGTTATGCTAATGGCTGTTGCTCGAAAGAGGAAGCAGAGAGGGAAATAATTGCTGACAGTAATACTCACTAGGCTGTTGAATTTTTAACAAAATATATAGCAAATACTTAAAAGTAGTTAATAACATGCAACAGCGCAACATATAGCATTTTCTGCAAGTACTGTATTTAACAGTGTGTCTGAGGTAGTCCCTCCCCGCTTCGATTTCATTGGCCGACTCACCTGCCGTTCTGCTCTCATTTTTGAAAAACACTTCATACATTCAGTAAAATCACTTTGACAACAGTTTCATAAAAATCATAGTAAAATTGTGAAGCATTGAGAAAATTATATTATTAATGATATTCTTGCATTTTTCAGTCTTTGTATGGACTGTTGTAAGTGACAAATGAAAATCAGGAAGTGTACAACTCTTTATTTGTTTACAACTGTTTACCATGAACGTTAATGGACAATTAATTTACAGTAAATGGCTCTCCTTAAATATTAAACAATCAGAAAATTGAAAACATACTGTACATCTTTCTGAGGGTTTTTAATTGTAAACTCATTGTCAAAATTATTTCCTTCAGAATTCAAAGGGGTCATATGATGCGATTTAAATTTTTCGTTTTTGTTTGAAGTGTTACAAGCTTTTGGTGCATAAAGAAGATCTGTAAAGTTGCAAAGACTAAAAATCCAAAGAGATATTTTTTATAAAAGTTAAGAGTCAACCACGCCTACCTAAAACAGCTCGTTCTAACACGCCCCCACATATCTATGTCACGATTTTGGGAAGATTTGCATAACGCCGCCCAAATGTTCACGCAAAGAAAGAAGGTGTAACTTTTATTCTCGCTGTAGTATTGTTGCTGCTGCCATGTCCTGAAGACGCTGTGTGTTTCGTTGTGAAAGCGAAACTACTTAGTTTGGTCTTCCAAAAGAGGACGATATCTGCTTCATCATGCCTGGAGCTGATCCGTGCTGGTAGCTGAGGAATATACACACCAAAAACATAAAATAAGGCTTTCACATAATGATGTGTTTGAAGTCAGTGATGAACAGTTCTTCTGTGAGAGTGAATGCGTGTGTCGTCTGATCTCTACGTACAGTGCTGGTAGACATATTAGGAACAAACTATATTCCTTCCTATTTTTTCAGTCTATTTTACTTTAGAATTTAGAATTTATTCTACAAATTCCTTCAAAATAAAACTGTTTTAAAATAAGCTATTTACCTCATCCAGCAGTTTTTCTTGTTTTTCTCAAGGAGCTGAAAGCTGCAGGTATACACTATACCTATTCTAGTCTCGTTGCAAACACACTCTCATAAAAGTTCATAACTATTTTACATTTTGGCATATTGGTGGGTAATTAATGTGAATTTGTATAATCTCAGCGTTCTCATATGATCTACTTACCTGAAGCTGATTGGTGTTTGTTATGCTAATGGCTGTTGCTCGAAAGAGGAAGCAGAGAGGGAAATAATTGCTGACAGTAATACTCACTAGGCTGTTGAATTTTTAACAAAATATATAGCAAATACTTAAAAGTAGTTAATAACATGCAACAGCGCAACATATAGCATTTTCTGCAAGTACTGTATTTAACAGTGTGTCTGAGGTAGTCCCTCCCCGCTTCGATTTCATTGGCCGACTCACCTGCCGTTCTGCTCTCATTTTTGAAAAACACTTCATACATTCAGTAAAATCACTTTGACAACAGTTTCATAAAAATCATAGTAAAATTGTGAAGCATTGAGAAAATTAATGATATTCTGATATTCTTGCATTTTTCAGTCTTTGTATGGACTGTTGTAAGTGACAAATGAAAATCAGGAAGTGTACATTTGTTTACATGTTTACAACTGTTTACCATGAACGTTAATGGACAATTAATTTACAGTAAATGGCTCTCCTTAAATATTAAACAATCAGAAAATTGAAAACATACTGTACATCTTTCTGAGGGTTTTTAATTGTAAACTCATTGTCAAAATTATTTCCTTCAGAATTCAAAGGGGTCATATGATGCGATTTAAATTTTTCGTTTTTGTTTGAAGTGTTACAAGCTTTTGGTGCATAAAGAAGATCTGTAAAGTTGCAAAGACTAAAAATCCAAAGAGATATTTTTTATAAAAGTTAAGAGTCAACCACGCCTACCTAAAACAGCTCGTTCTAACACGCCCCCACATATCTATGTCACGATTTTGGGAAGATTTGCATAACGCCGCCCAAATGTTCACGCAAAGAAAGAAGGTGTAACTTTTATTCTCGCTGTAGTATTGTTGCTGCTGCCATGTCCTGAAGACGCTGTGTGTTTCGTTGTGAAAGCGAAACTACTTTGTTTGGTCTTCCAAAAGAGGACGATATCTGCTTCGTCATGCCTGGAGCTGATCCGTGCTGGTAGCTGAGGAAATACATCAACTTTGCGCTGTGGATCGCCGGATCGGCTTTCACCGTGGACGAAGCGGAGTCCAGCCCGGGGTCGTCACATGCCCTCCGGACGCTCCTTCGTCGAATCCGCCGGGCGCCGCTCACTCTAGCCTGCAGTGTGTTTCGTTGTGAAAGCGAAACTACTTTGTTTGGCCTTCCAAAGGACGACATAATGTTTCTATAATGTCGGGCAGTTCCAACTTTGCAAGGACATTCTGGCGCTTCTGACTCATAGCCTATAAGTACGTTTTTTTTAATTTAAAGAATTTGCCACTGATGATTCAAGCGTGAGTTTAAGCAGTGTAGAGTAGCACTTGTTGTTTGTCATTTCTCCGATCACAAATGCAGACATGGTTTTATGTTTATGATGCAACACAAAGTGTAAAAACACAGTATGTCATTATAATCCGTAATTATGTCCCCACTGGATGCAACAAATGCCTCATTTATAAAGGGTTTTATTGGTTTTGTCTCGTCGCTCCGGGACACATAGAAACACAGTATGGTAAGGGTAACATTTCCGTCACACGCTTGAGGTATTCGGCCAATCACAACGCACTGGATAGCTGGCCAATCAGAGCACACCTTGCTTTTCAGAACGATGAGCTTTGTAAAAATCGATGCGTTTCAGAAAGGCGGGCATAGAGGGTTTGTCATTTCTCCGATCACAAATGCAGACATGGTTTTATGTTTACGCGGCATGATGCAACACAAAGTGTAAAAACACAGTATGTCATTATAATCCGTAATTATGTCCCCACTGGATGCAACAAATGCCTCGTTTATAATGGGTTTTCATGTTGTCTCGTCGCTCCGGCCGGACAGAGCATCACAATATGGTAAGTAGGGTAACATTTCCGTCACACGCTTGAGGTATTCGGCCAATCACAACGCACTGGATAGCTGGCCAATCAGAGCACACCTTGCTTTTCAGAACGATGAGCTTTGTAAAAATCGATGCGTTTCAGAAAGGCGGGCATAGAGGAGAAACAATAATGTACATTATGTGGAAAATAATGTGTTTTTTTTATCTTAAACCGCATAAACACAACATAATGTTATTTTTAGCAGCATCATATGACCCCTTTAAATTTTAGACTTTCACAATGAAT